TTCCCACAGTTGTTAAGTGAATCATTGCAGTTGTTAAATGAATAACCCAGTTGTTAAATGAATAACCCAGTTGTTAAATGAATAACCCAGTTGTTAAATGAATAACCCAGTTGTTAAGTGAATCTGGCTTCCCCATTGATTTTGCTAGTCAGAAGGTCACAAAAGGGCATCACAACCGTCATAAATATGAACCAGTTTCCAAGCATCTGAATTTTGATCACACGACCATGGAGATGCTGCAACGGTTATGTGAAAAATGATCATGTCATCTTTTTCATTGCAAACAGTTATTAAATGAACTGTTGTAAATTGAGGACTACCTGCAATGATTTGCTTCTAAAAGGGGCAGAATGGTATAAAAGTTATTCAAGCTACTCACATTTTCAGAAGTAACAGGATAATATATTTTCCACATAGATAAGGAATAGTGTAGTGAAAATAATTTGATGTTTAGGTTTTCTTGAGTCCACATGATAACTGCTTTTATCCAGGAGAAGTTTAGGTCATTTACCTTTTAGAAACACAACGGAAGAACACAATAGCTGGTCCCTAAGTACTCTATAAAATTAGGATCTGCAGCTTCCAAAAATCTCTCAGGACAGGGTTAACTTTCTATTGCATAGAAGCGCATTTACGATTCCTAAACAAAAACTCACTTTAAATCAAACTGGAGAAAATGAAATTATTTTTCAATGAAATTATTTTTGATTATAATCAAGGGCATTATAAATTTTAAACCGTAGCTACAATTCCAAATTAGAACTTGGTGTATGAGAGAGAAAGGTGGCATAAGATACCAACATTCATTAACAATCAATGGAAAAAACCTGCGTAATAATTTATGTGTTACGTGTTGTCTCCTTCCAATGGTGCAGAGACTTCTATTGCTGCTTCTACCACTTCCAGGGGATGGTTACCGCTAGTATTGAATGCCTCTTCACCAGGTATTAAAATAGTATGATGCCAATAAAACATTTTGACAGTAATTTCTTTTAGGAGAACTGAAAAAGGTATTCCGTAAAGATGTGGTTTCCTGGCATCAGTTCTAACCAAATGCATACATAGATATTTGAACATGCTGAAAAGAATAACCACAATTTTATTCAGGTTAACTGACTACATTTGCTGAATTCCTTGCTTTTAACTAATTGTTACAGCATAAAGCAACATAACTGTAGTAACAATTTGGAGCAGCAAAGAAGTTAGATGAGTAACTGCATTATTATCTTTCAACAATGTTTTTGTGGGCAAAATTGCCTGTTCTGTTTTACATCCTCCGAGAGGGGGAAGAAACATCTCTCTTATGACCTTGGACCTTGGGAAGGAGCCCAAGACAGCAGCAGGGCAAAAGCTTAATCACCTTATTCTAGATGTTGTTTCCCAATGACATGGAGCTGCATTGGAACCACAGATTGTCCTCATTATTTCGTCTAGGGCAGAGGTACCAGAGAGGTCACCAGCAATTGTAGAATGTTGATGGAAAGCAGAGGAGCGCAGTAACTTCATAACAATATTTCTATTTTTCCATGCAAGTCATTTGCTCTGCCCCACAAGTAGAAAATGGTAACTTTTTGCCTCCGTGGACTCATTACAACTTTGAAGACATGATCTACACAATATGTAACCCAGGATATATGCTTGAAAGTCATAAACATTCCTCTAAATGGACCAAAGATGGCTGGTCACCATATCCAAAATGTCTCAGTAAGTAGTTTTCATGATACTGCGCTTATTTTTTAAAAAAATTCAATGCCACATCTTAAAGGACTGATAATATATATTCAGTTGTATACACCTGTATTTATGCAATACTCAAAGTTTTACTGTTATTTTCATTTAATCATGGATAAAATAGAAATGACATGCTATACCACATGACAGTATTTCTCAGCCATGGCAACTTTAAGGCATGAATTCTTAAATTCTGAATTCATATTCCTTCCTGTTTTTCAGATCCACGTTTTCTCTCACATGCTCTCTAGCTAACTTGAAAAGTACTCAATTTGAACACGGTTGAATTAGTTTAAAAGTCAACCCTTTTTATCATAGAGGAATCATGTAGGCTTCAAATTTTTTTAAAAAAATTGCAGTGCTTTTAAAAAAAGCTCTTAATTCAGGATGCTGTGTAGTAAGGTAAAGACATTATAACTACAGGATTAAAAAGAGGAATATAAAGAGGTAAAAAACCTGTAACATCATTCCCCTTTCCTAAGTTTGGCAAAGTTCCAGAAATAAAACACTCATTCAAGTTTCATCAGAATAAAGAAATTAGGCATTTTCTGGCATTTTAAAATATTTGTGACTAAATGTATAAAATCTAAGTACTTCTTGAAGTTGCAGCTATTGTGGTATCCCTGTGGTCCCATGATCACAATCTGAGTGTTGGGTGTTTGGATTTCAAGTATGATGTTGAAACGAGCCATGTAACATGATCACAATTTCCAAAGTTCTTGATGGCCTACCACAAAGTTGCTCCTACTCCTGTTCTTCTTCTTTTTGCCCAATCTCACCCCATAAAACCCCTCTGCAATAACTCAGTGTCTCCCGTGATACAAATGTTCTCAGTGTCTAAATTGGGAAAGCGGGTTTTGTGGTCCCTATAAGGTGTTTTTTCAAAGTGAAATGGGCATGTGATGAAAATCTGAAGGAAAAAAAAATAACAGCTCCTAGAACAGGAAATATGACATCCTATTTGGACCTTAATTTTTCATTAATCCTGGTAATCATGGCTCCAGTCAAGCTGAATGTTATGCCCTGCTGTATTTTTTCCTTTTATTGTATTTAGTAGACAGATAGAATATGCACAGTAAGATTGAGAAATATGCAGCCTTGAAGAATTTCCGAAGTATCACTTACAAGAAGGGGATTAGTTTTGATCACTTAGGCAGAAAAAATATTTTGTCATTGCAGTTATTCGAATCAGCTTTTTAGTTTTGTCAGAAATTTCCTGAAGATTGGAAATGACTTTGCATGTTGTTGAATCTTAGGTTTCAACTGTTTAAATAATAAAAAAATTATGTTGTCCTATTAAAATATTTTTAATTACGATGGCTGCCATAGACTGCATTAATCAATTTTGGTAGCCTTAATATAGGTAGATTGGTGAATGAGGAATTAAGAACTTAAGTGCTCTTTCCATTCATGGAGGATTCTTTATTCAGTTTTCTGGCTTTCCATAGAGGACTTCCGGATGAAAGTAAGTGAAACAGATACTGTAAATACTACTTGTTAGTAGTATTCCCGAGTAGAATTGTCCTTGCAGAATGCTTCCATTTGTGAAAACAAAAATTGATTCAAACCTATAATGGTTTCAGCTTGAAGACAGAAATCCTAAATGTATTTAGAAGTTCACCTGAAATCAGTAGGATAAGTTTTCATTATGGAGTATAAAGTTGGGTAATCCATTTTGAATATGAGTATATTAAGCTAATATTTTGAAATGACACACAAGAGAACTTTCTAACAATGATGAAAATGGTTGATGTTTTGGAATTGATTAATTGCTTGTCTTTACTTTCTTCAAAGGAAAAGAGTGTGACTTTCCTCACATAGAGAATGGAGCACTATCCTGGTCCAACACATATTACAGTGACGTCTCTTTTCCCAAAAAAGTGGGACAAATAATTGGTTTCAAATGTAATCATGGTTTTCTGGCAAGAAATAAAAAACATTGGGATAGAATCAAATGCACTAATTTTGGCTGGGATCCAGAACCACGATGTTATAGTAAGTGCATCTTTCTTTAAGTTTCACTTTTATGAGTTTGGAAAGCCCCAACAATATTACATTTATTTTAAAATCATGATTAGCATTAATCTATTTAAAAAACTACTAGCATTCTATTTCATTTGTAGGGCTGAAGAGAATTGAAAGGCAAAAGAGTTCTGTACCTTCTTAAAACCAATCGAGGAAGTCTTCAAACATCTTTGCTTTCTTAATTTTGCACACCTTTAAATACAATTTTGTAAGAAGTTACATATTTTAGTTTTCTTATATATTTTCTATTATCTTACATCTAACAAGAAAAAGAAAAAAGAATGTGTTTTATTGCATTTATTTTATCCATTTTCAGAAATTGGAGTAGTCAAAAAAAGCTAGACTTGAATAATTACCAGAAAATCCCAAAACCCTGAGGATTTTTCAATTGCCACAAAAATTTCAATTAAATTATTTGTATTGTGTCTTTTATTTTTTCTTTTCCACTGCTCTTGTTTTTTCCTTTTTTGCATTTCCCTTTTTCTTTTCTTTTTTCTTTCTTACTTTGTATTAGTTTGTTAGCTTTTGTTTTCGTGTTTAAATTTTTTAATATAGATATAGATAGATATATAGATATAGATATATATAGATAGATATATAGATATAGATAAGATATATATATATATATATATATATATATATATATATATATAGATAGATAGATAGATAGATAGAGATAGATAGATAGACAGATATATAGACAAAGATATAGATATAGATATAGATATAGATATAGATATAGATATAGATATAGATATAGATATAGA